AAGCATGTTTGGTCCAATTAACCATCAGGTTGGAATACCAAACATGTCGGGACCAATCAATCAGAGGGTCCAGTCTTCCTCGGTATGGGATACCCTAGGTTGGAATGCCAAAACACATATAACTTGGGTCTAAACTCATGACCCGAGACCTAAAGACCTACCCTTATATTTCCCAAAATCTTCTGACTCATGGCAACCCGCCACTAAACTTGGATACAAAGATTTTCCTCAACCGCCGCTGAGATAACCAGTCTCACGCCTGATCCAGCAGCCAGGTTCCCAAGAACCTGAAAGACTAGGACATCCTAACCCAAACATCCTTCTATTACGCCAATCATATCAACATTACATCTTTACCTGAGACTCGCTTCTTTCACCACATCCAAGGGATTCTCAACCTCTTTCCACCGCCTTGTAGGGACCTAAACAACGTCCCTCACAGTGGTAACCGCACAACGAGCCATAACTATACCACACCCAATTCCTTTCACAGATGAACTGCTACCAATGTAGAGCCCAATGCAATCATGGTCGCCCATGACCCGGGAACAGGATAACGGTTGCACCCTTGATCCAAATCAAAGGCTATTACCTCAAAAGAACCATGCGAATTTCGAATCAACCCCCAATCTATCTTGTCCAACCCACATACTGTCACTGAATTACCACGATGTACATCCTTAGGGAACCCATAACCTCATCCAAAAGAACCAAAATACCCGAGTCCCATCAAACGACGAACCTTAAACATTAACATAAAATATCCACATAATCGATCAAAACAAGATTCCATACTTGATTGAGACGGAACAGATCCTACCAACACGAAACTAGCTCGAGAAGACTTCCAAGGCAATCCCGAAGGTTGCAAAAACTTGAGTCCGCTCCGAATCAGAATTCCACTCCACCATTGAGGGTAGACATACCCAAGGACCAAAGGAACATAAAACATGCTAAATTCGGCGATAAGTTGACACATCCATAGAACTTCAACTGCCACACTCAAACTTTCAAAATTCTTTGCTGCACGACAAACAGTGCTACCAACAATCACGAACACATGACCTTAAGTCACCAAAACCCTTGCGAGGCTGAACGCACCAACTAAAGCTGGTTCCCTGACCAGTACTTGCCCAAGCTAGACTACAATTAGAGATTCTTACACCTAGCTGACAATTTCCCTCTGCGACCTATGCTCGAACTACCAACAGTTCCTTATATAATCTTTGACAACTCAAAAGAAGCCACGAGCTGCAATAAGCTCCTTGACCAATCATTTTCTGTTGGGAAACAACCCATGAACCTCCTGACCTATACATCCGATCGCTACCTACTATATGCTTTTTCCATAACCAACCCTGAACTCGGATTCCACACACTCGCATTGCAAATGCCTATGATTCACCCTTCGATTACCATAAGCTTGAACATATCGGTGATCCTCCATGCCGAAAACCCAGTTCTCCCCCACTTAGGGTTTGAACTACCACATACTGGTGTTGAAACTAACCCATAACTTAACCAGCTTAATCAGGTACAACCATTCCTGATCCTGAAAAGAATAACACATGCAAGATAATCTTCCAGATAAGGATAATACACCACGAGGTAGCCTGGTTACACCTTAATCATCACCTGATAATTTATACAAAAGTAAAGCTCCACAAAGATACCGAAGTTTGGGCGATATTTATAAAGAAAGTGATGAACCTATGTTTCTTCAAGATGAAGAATAACCTATAAACTTCTCAAGTGCAAGTGAGAGTGAAGATTGGATGGAAGCTATGAAAAGTAACCCAAGTGCAATTGAGAAAAATAAAACATGGAGTTTAGTCGAGTTGCCAAAGGTATATGACACATTGGACTAAAATGGGTATACAAGATCAAATAATACCCGGATGGAAAAAATATTAAAGTAAAAAGCAAGGCTAGTTGCTAAATGTCATGTGCAAAAACAAATAGTTGATTTTGATGAAGTGTGTGCAAGTTGTCAAGGCATATATATAATTAGGTTGCTTGGTGTGTTGACTGGAAGAAAACTTGCTCCATTCGAATTGAATGTGGATAAAAAGTTAGCTTTAAATTTGATGAAAAATCCAGTATTTCATGGAAAAAGTAAACACATTGACACAAGGTTTCATTTCATTAGTGAATTCATAGATTGAGACGATGTTGCAGTAAAGCTTGTGAGTGCTAATGAGCAAAAAGCTGACATCTTGACCAAGCGTATAGACAAAGTGAAGTTTGAATAAATGCAAAAGTTTCTTGGAATGAAAGACGTCAAATTCTAGATTAAGGGGAGAATGTTGGAGTAATCCGGAATTAGAAGAGTTTAGGAAGGTTTAAATATGGTAAGTTTAGTTTGAATAAGATCAGACTTCTATTTCCTTGTTGCCTAAGGAATTTTATTTTAGTCCTATAAAATATAAATAGATGTAATTGTCTTTCAATTTTGATAATAAGAAAAGCTTAACTTTTAACCAAGCCTCTCTTCTCCTCCATGTATTCGATTTTTTATTCTCTTTGTTCTAACCTTTGCTTTGTTTTCAAGCAAGTTTTTTATTTTTATTATTTTTATTTTTTATTTTATTTTTTTTTGTGCGTGTGTGTGTTGAAACTAACATGGTGATGGAGGTGGGAGGTAGTAGTCAGTAACAAGGCGACTACTATGGATGGGGAGGAGTATAGGAAACTAGGGAAGCATGGAGCTTCCAGAGAAGGATGTAAAAGGAGTTGCCAGTAGGAAGCAAATGAGGGTAGTCTCTAAAGTGTTTGGGAGAACAAAATCAAGAAACTTAATGGCTATTGTTGATTTATGGTTTTATTTGTCAGTTACATAGAATTTTAAAAAGCCGTCTCTAAAACATATAGACTTTATCAAATTTGGTGTGAAGGCAAAAAAAAAGTATTTTAAAACAGAGTTAACAAAAAATTCTAACCGTTTTACACAAAAGAATCAATCAAGATGGATTTTGAAACCATAAAGACCAACCAGTGACGGATGTAGAAAAATAAAGTAGGGTATCCGAAAATCATAGATTATTTTTTCACTAATGCCATATTACACATACAACAATTCGTTTTTAATTAAAAAATAACACTAGAAAACCATATAACAAAAAATAAAATTTTCAAAAATACACTCTAAATTTATGAGCACATAAAAGTAGAATACAAGAAATGATAAAATCAAGGTTATTATATCGAAATCTTATTTATTATCATTTTATACTTTACAAAATATACTAAAAAGGTCTTATATATAAAAGATTTCTAGAAGTTAAAAAGGAAATGAATAAATCTTTTTACAAAGCCACAAAGTCAAAACTAAATTGTGCCAACATAAAAGCGTTGATACCTACATAAAAGATTTAAAAGAAAAAAAGTACAACATTTTGTTTAAATTTTGAATAATAAAATACACAACGTTAAAAAAATATTTTTAAGTGGTATGAAAGAATTTTGAAATACAAAATTAACGGATAAGATAGGTGAAAACTTGGCAGATGGTTTATTTCTTAATATGATGCAATTAAAAGTCTCTCGTATCCCAAAAGATATATACATAACTTTGCCACCAAATCAAACTAGTGGGTATGCAAGTATTAATTTTAAGCTATGCAAACATAATATTTAATACATAATTTATTTATTTTCTAAAAAGATCAACATATGTATGAAAAAAATTAAGGCTGTGCATTTGCATACCCGGTATATATATATATATATATATATATATATATATATATATATATATATATATATATATATATATATAATTTCGATATTGAAACATGGTAATCATTTTCCTTTTCTTTTTAATTGAATAACAAGCAATCTACATTTGATTAGATACGAAGTTTGCAAATATTGTTTATAAGCAGATAATTAGTTATAAGATATATAATCTACTATATAATAAGATAATTAGAAATAAAATATATAATCTATTATATAACTAGTTGTAAGACCCATGTATTACATGAGTTAATTTAAAAAAAAAAGATAAATATAAAGATCAAAATATTTAAGAACATTGAATTTATAAGACAATAAGAAAAACAATGAATTATTATAATGGATATGTTTTTATCTTTTAAATTAAAAAAAATAATTTAAATAAGTAAAAGAAACTAATAAGTTTTAATTTTGAGAATTTTGAAATTAAAAGGTAAGTTTATTAATGAAATTGATATCAATTTATTACTACATTTATTGCAATTATTACATTAAAATATTATGTGAAATAAAATAAAATAGAAAACTCATAAAATAACATGTGGAAAAAAAAAATTCAAAATAACTACAAAATAACATTTGACAAATTGAATGAGAGTGCAACGAATAACAAAAAAAACCTTCATTTATTAGAGAGGAAAAGAAAAGATAAAAAGATATATGATAGGTATATTTATTATTATATTCTTTTGTTGGTGAACAAGTGGTAACTTCTTTTGACCATCCCCCATTGCTTGATCCTTGATATACAAAATGTTTATAAGTTTTCTTATCTACAAAGATGGTGTACGTCCCACATCGTCCGATGGTAAGAAAACTGTTAGCTTCCTTGCTTAATAAAATCAGAGGAAGCTCCATTATTTCTTACAAGTTTCACAAGTGTCCCAATGTCAAGTTTGCTGCTTTGAAAACGCTTGATCTCGAGTTTAATGTGTTTATTTAAAAAATCTAATTTATAAAAAAAAATCGAACTAAATTTGTTAAAACAATAAATCGGATGGTTTATTGCTTGAACTGGTTGATATTATTGAGTATTGATTTTCACTAGTTACAAGAATTTTTAAACCGGGTATCTGATATTGGAATCGGTACCGGCGGTTCCAAGACCGGTTCCAAAATTCAAAGAACCGGTGTAACCGGTTCCGGTTCCAATATTTTAAGAACTGCCGGTTTTGGTTCTGGTTCCGGTTCCTTACAATTACAACGGGTACCCGGTTTTGCTCACCCTGATGTTCTGTACACTTAGGTTGTGTTTGATATTGGTCTGACTGAGTCGGCTCAGACCATTTTGGATGACTCGCTCAACTATTTGTGTTTGATAAACACTTTATGCGTGTCTGATTCAGAAATCTATAGCTAATTGAGAAAGAAGTTGGAAATCAGCTGACTGAGAAGAGGAGAAAAGTTTCCATCGGTGCCCTTTCTTCTCCCCTTTCAGCGATTCCTCTTCTCCAACAAGCAACATCGACCTATTTCTTCCTCTTCCAATCGCCGGTCGAAGCTCCTTCCTCGTCTATCAGGTATGCTTCTGCTGTTCTTTTCTTCTCCAGCCGATCAAAGCTCCTTGCCCTAAATGCTCAATGTGTTCGATTTCACCTTATGATTGTCCTTTTGCTTACTCCTTTGTAGCTGATTGACTCTGATTTCAATTACATGTACAAAACTGATAAAAATGAATTTACTGTTGAAGGTAGCAGAGCAATTGCTTACTCCTTGCCCTAAATCCATCTATTTACTGTTGAAGGTAGCTGATTGACTCCGATTACACCTTATATATTTTTTAATTCCGATAATACCCTCGGGTAAATAGATGGATTGGCAAGGACAGAAGGTAGCAGAGCAATTGATGCAAATATTGCTGGTGGTGTTTGCAATTGCAACATTTATAACAGGTTATGTTGTGGGTTCGTGTATGCTGGGGGGTGATTTTGACAACTTTGATTACAATTCCTAATTGGCCCTTTTTTAACAAACATCCTCTCAAAGTGGTTGGATCCAAGTGAAGCTGAAAAGCATCCAAAACCACAGGTGGCTGTGACTTCGGTTTCAAAGAAGAAACCCAACAAGAAATAGGCTATGACTATTATATCATAATTGGGTCATATTGAAATGAGAATTGTGTTTTTTCGGAATTTATTTTGTTTTTAATGTTTATCTTGATAAATGATATAAGGCAAGAAGATTGAAGAAAAATATTTTAAATGAGTAGAGCAATTGAATTTGATTATCTTTAGTGCATTTTTATAATTTTTCAACAACTTCATCCATTGTTGTATAGAGTAGAAGGGTAAAATGATCATTTTTCATTAGTCAGAACATTAAGTCAGATGTACAATCAAACAGCATGGTTTCTTACTCGTTTAGGATTTCTTACCCAGACAGATATTTCCCAGTCTGCTCTTTCTCAGGAACTATCAAACGGGACCTTAGTTGAAAAATAGTTGTCTGATCAAACGATGCTCACCAGCGACCACCATGAATCATGTCCTTGATAGGATCCATATGGTGTATCTTTGCCGAATCAAATAATCTGAAAGTAGTAGCCAGTTTCTTTGAAAATCACTTTAAATATTTGATTATTTTTATTATCTAAATTATTACTTAGACATGTAGGTTATTGCATCAATTAACGTGGGGCTTTCTAAAACAATTAACCATCTTATTTGAATTGAAACGAAATTAAATAACATAAGTTACACCAAACATTTAACACGATCAGAAGCTCTTCTCTCGTCTTTCGAGATCCATACGATTAGTCGACGATAGATCATATATTCATATATATCATTTAGTACAATCTCTTTTGATAACAATTTAATTTATCACCTTTTCATGGGATCGTAAGACCTACAGAATCCAAGATATATCATAAGTCAAATATACTATTTCAATTGCATACGTACATTACAACACATATAGACAAGTGATAGAGAGAGAAAGAGAGATTTACTTCCACATTTGAAATGACGAGGGACCCTGCGTCCACAACCTTCAATAAGTTTAACAAAACGATTGACATTGATTAGAGCAGCCAACTTTGGGGTGATCACGGGACATATGCACTTAACATGGCTAACCCGAGCTCGTTTGCAACAGCTTGATGATGGAGGTCTGCCATACAATACACTTATGCATGCGTTGATGGCGAGCCTCTTCTCTTTTTTGCACTGGGCGGCACTTGGTGCTGCCCTGGTCATTGCTAAGATTATCATAAGAATCAAAACAATCATCAAATTCGAATAATTTCTCATTTTAAAATGTTTATTTTCGGAATTTTCTTGTATTTTAACTTTACATTACTACTCGAGGGTTTATAACTTTATATATAGAGTGGAGTGATAATGCGAAGACTTTGGACTTTGAACTTTGGACTTTGGAGTGGTGGGGGTCAATGACTTACGCGGTACTAATTTGACTAATTGATGATTTTGATATTACCGTTTACCATAATGAACATATTCTCTTCTGTTTGTTATCTACTTTCATTAACTAAATTAATAAAGTATAGAGTTTTCGTCACTGTGAACTCTATTCTAATATTATTTCCTTAGTTTAATGACAAAACCACAATTATACATGTGAACTCTATTCTAATATAGTACAGAGTTTTACACGTACATACAGATCTATGAATATTTATTTCCATAGTTTAATGACAAAACCACAATTATACATATGAACTCTATTATAATATCATTAGCTGCAATAATGATCCAATAAATGTGAAATAAACATGTGATATAGTAACTTCAGACATGTTTTATAACTAACGAATTTTAGATGATAGACATGTTTTAGCATAAAATCACCACTTTCATACTTATAATTGCATTAAAACACCACTTTCGTACTTATAAGTGCATTAAAATTTTATGTAATGACCAATGATAATGTTTAGGGTTATTGACATAACAACACATGAAAGTTTTACGTTTGGTTTTAAATGAACATTTAACTTTCTTTTGTACCTGTTAAACCATTAAACTCGAAAATTATCCGTCTAAAACACCATTTTGCTTAAAATTACAAGGTTTCCAGGTTACATTTGCTTATGTGTTTATTGACTTATGATAGTCAAAGATTTATGTTTCCCATGACCACCATGTCCACCCATTCGATCCCTTATCTTTTTCCCGTTCTGTTTTTGGCAGTAAAAGAGCCTTAATTTCTTGTCACAATCTTCCATGGTCTCCACCAATCGAAAATCACCACCGCCCACCTCCTCCCACTTCCACCGCCATTAATAAAGCATTCACGTTTCCGATCTCTAATCAATTTAGTGGGTTAAAACGATTATGATGTAAAGGCGATGAAAACCAACACACGTGTGTACCTGTGTTTCCATTTTACATCCTCTCATTTAATCAATTCAAGAAATTAAGTTACATGAATTTAAGAAATTTTCTTCTCCAAAACCGATGAAACCACATAGTATCAAGAACAGTGATGGTGTGTGGAGAAGGAGTTTGTCGTTTCCTTCTGCGTGTCTCTGCATTTCCATCCATCAGTCGATTGTCAAGGCTTCAATGAAAGAAATTAGAACAAAATAAACAGGGGGTTAGGGTGTAAAGACGATGAACATGATTCATATTTTCGTGTCCGGTAAAAATTGAAGAACATGGCAACTTCAGTTCCCCTTCTCTCTAAAAATAACGTATGAATCAAAGAAAAGAAGATGATGAGTAGGTTAGAATCGATTTTCAGATGTAGGTTAAAAATCGAAGGATCAAACTGATACTAGATTTCAAAACATAAAACAAAATCAAAACATCATACCAGATAGATCAAATTAAAATTGGAATGAAAATGAGTTCGGATGAATCTCACTGAATCCATAAACTCTGTTTTCATCTAGATTCACAAAAGGCAATACCAGATGACTCTTATTGAAGCCAGAAATCCCGTCTTCTTCTGCTCCGATTGTAATTGTTTTTGGTAATCGGTTACCGATGCAAACTGCTCCGCTACAAAAATCCATGGAGGTGTTTCTTCAACTAGGGCATAAACGAATTGAAAGCTGGACGATGGTGGTAGTTCCCCCCCCCCCCTCTCTCTCTCTCTCTAAAAATATTGTGTGAATCAGATAAAAGAAGATGATGAGTATGTTAGAATCTTTTGCAGATGTAGGTTAAAGATCGAAGAACAAGGACCAGAATGAAAAATTGATGAACAAGTTAGAATGATTGAGTTGTATGTGTTATGTGCATTCAATCTCCCTTAAAACAAAACGATTCCTTCACAATTCCCCCCCTTTTTTTTGTTCCGATTTGCAGGTGTATGTAGGGTGTGTTGTCCAAAACCTTGAAAATGTCGTCACTAAGGTCCATGGCTAAACCTTGAAAAGTACATGCCCTTTCATCTTGATTTTGCACTGGATGGATGGTGGCGGTGGTGGTGACACTAGTACAAAAATGACCTATAGACACACCATAAAAGTGTAACCATATGCATATAGTGACATTTTATTTTTTCACTGAAAGTGTGACGGAAGGTGACACCATCGTATGAGTCTTATGGTCACTTTAAAATGTAGTGTCCGTATGATATGAAAAAATGTGGTTGTATTATAAAAGTGTGGCTATTGGGTAGGGAATTTTGTTGCTAAAATCAATCATTTTATCCAATATTGTGGCGTTAAACCGTTAGTAGACACATTTATTTAGTAATTGTAGTGACTATAGATCACCAACCGGCTACATACATGTTGTTTCAATGTGGCGTTTTGCTAATAAGTTGTCACACAATTCTAAGTTTATTAAAACTATTGGGTATGTTTTGCTGACATGCATTTACGGTAAACATGACCATGTAAATAAATGGTCACATGTAATTAATTTCATAAGTGGTGATTTGCTAATAATTAGTCACAAAAACAATATTTTATTGTGACTATTGCCTATCGTATAGAAATAGACAATTAGGTGAAACATGATCATAAGTATTATAAAGACACACATTTTATTAAAATTATGGATATAATATTAGTTTACGGTCATATTTATATTACTTATTATCACCGATTCTATCATTCAAACACATAAAAAGTTGTAACTATGACTATTTTATATCATTCTGACATATAAATCAGTTATAAAAATAATCATAATTGATTTATAGACACAATGGTGTTTGTAATTGTGACCAATATTCAATTTATTACCGCAAAAATTGGTTATTAGTGCAAGCTATTTTATCATTTAGACACACAAACATTATAAAGGGTGACTATTGTTTGTACTATGATCATAGACAGTTATTTAAACCGTAGCCAAAAGTATTTTAAAGACACTATTTTTCTAACTATGGTTATCATATATCGACAATGTGAAACGATAAAAGGATATTGATACAAATAATAAATCAAATGAAAATAATCCATACATAAGTTCCCTAATTAAATTGTAAAAAATCCATTTAATCAAAACAAATCTACAAAATATGCTAAAAAAGGAAAAAGTTAGAAACCAAAAACTAGAACTGATTTATCTTATTCATAGTGCTCCTTGTATGCTTTGACAATGTCATCTCTCATGTAAAACTCTTTTTACGCTTCTTGGAGTTTTGAAGTTCATTTTCTTGAGTTGATTCTATATGTGGTACCTGCAGTAGTATTAGAGAAAATAAATTGGTTAGGGGTACACAAAAGGCATATAAGAAGCAATAACAATAGAGAAACACAAAAGGAAAAAAAATCATGATTCATAGAGTTCAAATTACCTAACTTTAGTTCTATATAATTCGATGCAATTTTATAAACTTTAAAATCTATTGCCTGTTACAGAAAGCATTTGTAGTTTACTGGGAAAGATTATACAATTCAACATATGGGATACCACCAAATCCACAAGTTGCATGTTGACCACAACTGCACCAACTTTGCCATGCTGAAACAAATGCAACTTACTTAACTTTAAAAATAAAATCCAAGCTCACAAATGCAGTATGAAGTAGATAAACCAATCTACTTACAATTTCAAGACCAAGCTCCAATGTTTTTGGACCCAAACAATTTGATTTTGGCTGACCTGGAAGCATACAAACCGAGAGTGCAACACCCATTATACCAACAACTCCACATAAATGTCATGATTCAATAGCCACATCATCAAGAGGAAGAAAACAAACAGTTTCTCCTGCAATATGAATTTCTCAAGAAATATAAATAGTAAAATATTTTCATTGACTTTACAACACTAACATTTAAAACTAATGGTACATCAGGATGTAAAAAAATGTTGGGCATGTGATATAACAGCTTGATCATATGTTAGACCTGGAACATCAGCACACAAATGACCTTCACATGTATTCATTTACATTTACAGAACATTAGTAGTTAAAGAAGCTAGTTGATAGTTTAATTTAAGAAGTTGCTTAATTATAAACATCAACTTGTTTCCCTCATATAGGACAACTTCCATGGCTTGAATGAATCACCCGAATCTAAATTTAGCCTAACATATTCATCAATTTGCAATTTGAAAGAATAACATAAAGAATGTCCAAATAAATTCTCAAATTGATGATTTTATTGAAGACGAAAACTGAATCAGATATAACATCTTCAAGTGATTGAATGAATCATAAGAATCTCAAATTACTCTCAAATGTTCATCAATTTGCGATAATTATAGAAGAAAATGTGAAAGAAATTTACACAAATTGATTTTCCTTTTCGGTTTATGCTTGTTGCATCTCTCAACTAATGCAATTTGCTCAACATTCGTCAACTCCTCCCCTTGAATTCTCTCTCTACTCATCTTCATTTTCGCTTCCGGCATCTCAGTCTCCTCCTTCACATCCATGGGATTTCCAGCTATTGTAAATCAGAACGAAATGATTCATTAAACCAACTAACGAAACTTAAAGACTCCATTTTCTTCAAACTAGTGAACAAATAGCATAGAGTTCTTTTAAGACATAATAAAACACAAGAAAATTGCAGAACAAAATTGTATCATAAAGAGACCTACATGTGTGAGTGATGATCTTCATATTATGAATTTTATGAACGAATTTGGGAGGCCATATTCGTGTTGGCCCTATGCTATACTGCCTTGGATTCCACATACGAAATTCTAGATTCTGTGTGGCTTTATTTTTTGCTCTATGTAGAATTTCTTGAACCGACTTCAATCTTCAACTTTTAGGGTTTAGCCTAATGATTCACTGTCCACCGATTGAGAAAGAGGAACATAGATGAGGCGGCGAGTAGAAACGCACCTAATGAAGGATACGCCTGGAAGAAAGAAGATACGATGGGGGAGATCGGGATAGGAGTAGAGACGAAATCGTGAGAGATGCGGAAACGGTTTTTTTAGGGCACACCGAAGGGGAAGCTATATAAGTATGTAGAAAAAAAATTCAAAATTTTGATGATTTAGAAATTTTTGAAAATGAAAAAAATACCCTAGTTAGATATTTTGGGTTTCAAAAAGTTCAAAAAAAAAAAGTAAAGTTTATTTGATTATAATTTTTGTTACATTTTATATCTAAAAAATTGTTATCCTAATGAATTAGTTTTAAAATTTTGAATTCACTTCATTTTTAAAAGATTTTCTAGACTTTCTTTAATAATGATGAACCACGAATTACTCTAAAGCAAATATTTAAGTTTCGTATGGGTATGGATATAAATATGGGGTGGTAGGGGTTAATATAGGGGTTGTGTATGGGTGGGTGGGATGGGTGTCAACATGGGTTTGTAGGTACGGGAGTGAGGGTTGGGTTAAGGTGAATATGGGGTAGGTTGGGGTGAGCATGTGGGTGTTGGTATGAGGGGTAGGGATCGGGATGGGTGTGGGATAGGTGTATAAGGGTAATATAGGGGCATATGGGGTGAGGGCGGGTGGGTGTGGATATGGGTGGGGTGAGTCATAATCCCCAAGAATGAACCTAATACCATAAGCCTAAGTCATAATCCCCAAGCATAAACGTAATACCATAAGCCTTTAATCCCTAAGGCACAAGAAATAAGTCCTAAGCTATAGTCATAGGCCTTAATCCATTAGACATAAGCCCTAAACCTTAGGCATAAGCCCTAATCCATACACTATAAGCCGTAAGTTATAAGTCATAACCCATAAGATACTCATACCTACGCATAAACCTACACGTACACCCTACCATATCTTAAACCCCTCTCAACACATCCTACCCTAACCCACCTTTACATGCATGTACACCCACACATACACAATCTTATCATATCCACCAAAGATGACTACCAACACCTACACCTAACACCCACCCTTAAATGCTAAGTACCATCCATACCCCATGCAGGGCCGGTCCGAAGATGTAGTGGGCCCAGGGCGAAAAGAAAAATGGGTCTCTAAAGTTGAAAATAAATAAACCGTTATAAATATCACTATTAATATTAAAAAGCAAAAATATGGCTACAACATTACAAAAACAACTAATTTAAAAAAAAATTCCTAGCATTTTTAGATAAGTTGATTTTTTTCTCTCTACATATATACCATATATTCTATGAATTTTGGGCCCCTTAGAGCCACGGGCCCTGGGCGACCGCCCGGGTTGCCCACCGTCTGGACCGGGCCTGACCCCATGCTAAGTGTATACCCACAAATACCCACCCTTAAATGCTAAGTGCTACAAAAAATGTTTATACAATATAAATGGAAAAGTCAAAAATCAACTGTTATTGCCAATAAATGTTTAGGGTTTAGGGCTTAAGATTTGTAGTTTTTGGTTAATGGTTTAAGGTTTAGGCCATATGCCATAGGTCTTAAGCCATAACAACGTTGAACCTTTTTAAGGCATGTATATAACAGTTCTCAAGATTCCAATAACAACATGGAACCTTTTAAGCTTGGGCCTTTCTCTACAAGCCATTGACCCTGTGAACGCTTTATGCCTTGTGCCATAAGTCATATGCCTTAAGTCGTAAGTCATAAGATTTAAGATTTTTGCCCTAAACTATAAGCCAAAGATCCTTTGTCATACCCTATGAGCCCTAAGCCCTAAGCCATATTTCATAATCCCTAAGCGCTAAGCCATAAGGCATAATCCTTGAGTCAATAAACCTAAAGCATAAGCCTATGTCATAATCCTCAAGCATAAGCCCAATGCCATAAGCCTTTAATCCCTATCACATAAGCAATAACCCATAAGCCATAAATCATAGGCCTTAATCCATAATACATAAGCCCTTAACTTTAAGCATAAGTCCTAAGCTCTAATCCATAAGTCATAATCCCTAAGCTATACACGATAGACCCTAAGCCATAAGTAGTATATTTATTTGTGTTTTTAATATAATAATAATATTAGTTTTTATTGTTTTTTACAGAAAAAATCTTAGTATTTTGGAATAGTTTATGAAATAGTCATAAATTAATTATTAATTTGTGATATGCTATAACCGAGAGCAAATGTTTAGAATGGATCATTTTATCGATTTATTTTTTTTATTTTTTTAAAAAATAATTTTATTTTATTTTGTAAACTGACCAAAATATGTACATTTTTCTTACAAAAAACTTTTATCATTTACATAGTCAAACATTTTATTCAAGAAATATACATAGTCATAGAGTTATAGGTAACAATTTTTTTTTATCTATGTAAGCATCATTTATTTTTTCAAATAATTTATTCATAAAAAAGTTAATAAAAAATGATATGTGAAAAAAGGACAATAATGGTAGCTACCTATCACACGTAATCGATATTTTTGAAAAAATATAATACTTTAACAATAACTATTGAAAAACATGATATTACAATGAAAAAAAAATACTAGTATGATAAGAAAAGTTAAAAATTATATTGTTATTCGACTATTTCTTAAATTTTGCTATCAAAATTAAAAAAACAATTAATAAAGAAATGAGAAATCAAGTAAATATTGATCCAAGGTTTTGGGGTTTTGGAATTGGGATGAGATCTTAATTCTTGAATTAAAAAGAAAAAGCAAACGATGCAAAAATTTCAACCGGGAAGAGATAGGGAGATGTTCGCTAACATATTTGGCATGAAATTCAAAACCCTCGAATTCTTCCCCAAAATTCAACCAAGCGCGCCTTTTACCCCCAATTTCTTGCCCCCAAAAACCATTTACGAGATTTCTACAACTCTTTTTCAGATTCAATTGCAGTAGCAACAAAGCTCACTCATTTCTTCACCCTGTGTTCATCTACTGCTGCTTGCACAATTCACTCAATAGCCCAAAACTTTAACTAATTTCGGTTGAATCTTTCCTTCCACCTTATAGGGTTTTCGGTTGTTTCTGGATATGTACCCATGTTTCTATATACATACATAAACAACGTCTGAATTCCGACACGAATCTACGCTTACACAGGTTTTGAATTATCGACTTTTATGGGTTTTAATGGCTTCCGATATGGAAACCCTAGAGAGTGAAAAAACAAGAAGACATTCCCGACGTCGAAATGAAGGACAAGGAGGAATCCGAAAAGGAAGGCGAAGAAGAGCAAGAGACTAAAGCAAAAGACGAAGAGAGCGAGGATGAAGAAGAAGCTAAAGACGAAGAGAGCGAAGATGAAGAAGAAGAAGATAGCGCAAAAAAGCCGAAGGCAGCTGGAAGAAAAAGAAGACCGATTCGAGTTCTAAATCACCTGCTACGTCGACTGAGAGGCCAACCAGGGAAAGGAAGACCGTCGAACGCTATACGGCAATCTTTCTGCTAGCAAACCGATTTCCATACAACAGGTATGTTACGATGGAAATCCCCTTTATCTTTCATTGTTGTTTTGATTAGAAATCGTGTAAGTTTTCTTACTCACGTTTGTACGAATGGATACAGGGCCCCAGATCTCAGCTCAAGGAAATTCCAAACGGTACATATCTTGATCATCTCTGTGCTTGATTTATGTTCGGTTCTAAAGTTGGATTTGAAAAATTATCAAAAAGAATAAACCCTCGAAGCTCTTTAATCATTCATAGGGAAAAAACTATAATAACAGTACTTGATTGTTCTCTATACTTTCTTGTGAGATTCTTGCAGAAATTTGAAGCTTGTAACTTCTGAGAGATAGGTTAGTTTGATGTATAGGTTAGAGTGAGTTTTTTTATGATTTGTAATTGTATCCAAGAATTCTTGACATAATATGAGAGTTCTTTTTTTATTTTTGGGTTGAATTTATGTATTTTGACATCATGTTTGATTCTTTTCTAATAGAAACTTATCATGTTGGTAAATGTTTGTCCCTAATTCACCTTATAAGTTGTTTCATTTATATATGTGTCTGGTGTGTTCTTATCTCTAAGTGTTTGTATTTTTCAAGGTACTTTTGGTATTTTATATATGGTTATGATGTGTTATGTATTTAAGTAAATTCATATAAACCACATTGCATTAGAACGCATAGTCTTTTGTCTTTTTATTTGGATTTGAAGTGTTACTATGTCATGAAAAAAATTATGTTAGTATTTTGTTTGGATTTTCTGTTTTATTGTATGATCGTATTTTCTTCTGACAATTAGGTAGTTTAATTTCTCAACTTTACCAATTAAGTAGGTGGTATTGGAACTTGGACGGGAGAAATGAAAAACATTTTTGAGAAGGTTTTAGATGTTGGTAAGTTGTATTTTGATTAATTATATTGAAAATAACATGTATTAATGCAACTGGAGATTAGGTCATTGCCTCAACTAAAGTATAATTCAGTCATTATTTTCACCTCACAACTTCGATATAACATAAACTGCAATGGTGGATGACATGTTATAACATAAACTGCATATTATAGCAATGTAGTTTTGTTATGCAATGTTAGACAAAGTTGTATTCTTTTCATTTATTTTTCATACTTTTGTGTTAAAGAAAGTTGTATTCTTTTCATTTTTAATGGTGTATGATCTGGTGCAATTAAAAGAATAGATGACAAAAAGAGCAATTTGGTAATTTCTTATAGCACTTATTCAATACAACTATAATGTTATTTGTTTTTGTTATTATTATTATTATTATTATTATTATTATTTGGTTTTTTCAGAAATTGTTTCTGTTGAGGTAACTTTACAAAATTGCCATTCAATTTTTTTCATTAATTTATACAACCCTTTAATTGCAAAAAAATCAGTGTACTTTTGTAAAATGACATGATTGACCTTTTTGTTCATTTTTTATTCTGCCAAATGATATCAAAGATAAAAATGGTCAAATTTATGAGTCTTCCAAAAAGTCTAAAATTGTCATTTTTTTGTATAATAACTTAACCAGGAAACAATTTCAGTTTTACAGCAACAAATTTTCATTTTATGAAGACTATTCTTTAAACTTACAAATACAATAGTACAACCAGAATGAACATTACATAATTATAGTAACATATTCAATGAACGACCCCTAATTATACCGATAAGACATTATTGTTCTTTTATAACTATATTTACATATATACACATATAATAGCTGTAATCATAACTAAATGCTACCTACACTCACAATATTTGTTTCTTCTCAAAGCCATTTCATCATATTTTGACACACATAATAAAAGGTACATGACCATAAACAACCAATACTAACTTGTTTTCTTTTCTTGCGTTAACTAAGTACAACTAGTATAGAACCGCCCTATGGACACACAAATATTTAGTGTGACCATATGTATCACCTTTTAGCTACTTTGTCTGTTATGTGTCTAAAAAGGCACCAGGTTATGGACACACATACACCTGCCTCATGTCACAATACGCTTATCTACTGTGTCTCATAAAAAAAGTATGACAATGATAATCGGTACCTGTGGTTGATTGTGACCTATGGCCTCAATGTTCGAGTGTGACTAATATTTGTCACATTTGGTATAATTAAGTGTGGTTAAAGTTTTGATTATCTATACAATGGCCACACAAACTAATTTAAATGTATCCAAAAACAGTTTGTAAATTTTTTTAATGACCTTTGGCCACACTTTTAATAAAAAGTGTGACAGACCGTTTTTCGGAAAGTGTGACCGTAGGTCATTTTTGTACTAGTGTGAGAGGAAACAGAAGGTAGTGGTGGGGAGATTGATGATGGTTCTTCAATATGAAAGTCCACATGGACATCTACCTGGCTATGAAAACCTTTTACTATAAGAAGTCAATGTACACATCAACAAATGTAACCTGGAAACCTGATAATTTTAAGCAACATGGTGTTTTAAATAGGTAATTTCCGAGTTTAATGGTTTAACAGGTACAAAAAAAGCTAAATAGTCGTTTAAAACCAAACGTAAAACTTTCATGTGTTGTTATGTCAATAACCCTAATGTTTAATCTTCTATTGGACTCTCTATTTTTATTTTTAGAACTGCTAATTCACACATACATATAATCATACTCATAAATTTGTATCTTTTGTCTACTACGAGAGCCTTCAACTACTTGAAGATGAACACCTTTCCAACACACGTTGTTCCCACTAGACCAAATATCTTTTGATAATATCTTGTTGGAATTTGTTTTCTATTTAGTACACCAAACTTAGTAGAATAGTGTTTGAAGTTGAAGTCAATGGTGACTCGATGGTGTTGTTCATCTTCCTTATGTCGATAGCTTGTCACATCAATGCAACAAACTTCTTCCTTCCATGCATCTCCCTCATTTGGATCTCCGTAACTAGCAGAATTAGACGAAATGAAAAAAATAAATAGATCTATGGCGGTCTCTAATTGAAGGTCTATTAGATTGCAAAAGACCTTTAATTTGCAAAATTTCAAGAATTTGTTCAATGTAAATAGGTCGTAGGAATTTTCAACGAGGTTCAAAAGTAGATCTCCTTTGCTGAGACGACCTCCAATAAGACATTATAAGAGGTTCAGAAGCAAATATTCATAGCACTTTTCAGATTGAGTGAATGGTATTACTTGGAGTAGTTTTAGTTTTGGTTCGGTTTACAGACTTTTCTGATTGGAATATCACAATGGTTGGTGCGGTGTAGGGATTTTCTAGTGAGTAGAGGCAAAGTCACAATGTTGATGGTGGAATAGAACGAGCAACTTGATAAGGGGGTTGGGGTGTTGACCGGATGTGGTGTGGAAAAGGTTAGGCCAACCCTTTAATATATATATATATATATATATATATATATATATATATATATATATATATATATATATATATTAATATATATATATATCTATATATATATATATATATATATATACGAGAGAGAGAGAGAGAGAGGACGGTTCACTTGAGATTCTAAAAAAACAGAGATCTTGAGATTCAACCTCAACCATATATTTTTCATTTGTCGCTCTAACGCCACATCGTACAGGCAACAAGTGGGTATGCCTAATCATAAATTATTATATGGTGGAGAGCTATAATCATATATGATTATACATGTTTATATATATAATATATATATATATATATATATATATATATATATATATGTCTAATCATAAATGATTATACATATACGTCTGTTCAGAAAATGCTTAATCATACACTGCATAATCATTTATGATTATAAACTCTCTGGTCGTGCCGATACGCTAGATGGTTAGAGCGGCAAATAAGAAATATGTTGTTAAGATTGAATCTCAAGATCTTATTTTTTTTTATAATCTCAATGGAACCTAAAACTATATATATATATATATATATATATATATATATATATATATATATATAGGGTTAGGTTATAATGTGGATTATATTTATTGTGTAGTCGTAAGGACAATTCTAGACCAATCGATTAAAATGATAAATGAGTATTATATGAGGGTCTATAGTATTACAATGGAATAACATGTACCATATAATGATACAAATTTCATTATAAGGGTATTTTAGTCAATTAAATAATACTTAAAAATGGAAATTTTCGGATTTTAAGGGATAATTAGTTCTATTAGTTTTAAATTCTGATTTTTAAATTAGTCCAATTTCTATTCTTTATTTTTGAATTATAACCAATTTATTCTTTCAGAATGACTGAGTTCTAATGATATTCTATAAGAATGACAGCCATAAACTAATAAAAAAAATTGAATCTTGAAAACTTGAGGTTTTGTCCAGTAAGAAGTAAGAATGAATATTAGATGATTCTGCAAGGAGTTAAATACCATAATGGTAAATATGTTAATGTAAAAAAATATTCTTGTAGAATCTGTTTACACTTTTATAAGAATGAACTTAAATTACAATTGGAAACTGAAATACATAAAAAAATCTTAAAAAACATTCTTGAATTTTTGATAAGAATCTCGTTCTCCTGCTTGGTACGTTTCCAACATTATGTAATCAAACACAAAAACGAAACTTCATTTTTGAAATAACATTATGTCACTGACCTGCAAACAGAATAAGAGACATTCTGTAAGAATAGTGTAAAAATTTTTAAGCTGTAATTGCAAAAAAAAAAACCACCAATAAAAGAATCAAACTATACATTCTTGATGGGCATTCTAAATTCAATACATTCTAAAAGAATAGGACTATAAATTCTGATAGAATGTGCTAGACACTAAAAAATTATAATTTATAATTAAATACACAATACAACTATTATGATAGAACTCACTTGATCATAAAATAAATTGTATAAATTATACAAAATAGATAAAAACATAATAAAAACTCATGAAAAACTAATTTGCAATCCATATATATATATATATATATATATATATATATATATATATATATATATATATATATATATATATATATATATATATACATGTGTATGTGTCTTAGTAACAAATCATAAAAAAGTTAAAAGAAAATCATGTTCATGGTATGGTATTGTCATTCGCAATTGAAAGATTATATAAATAAATGTAACTCCATCATCAAGTTATTTAATTTCTAGAAATTCCTCATCATTGATTTGCAATACAAGTTCTATGAGCAGAGCAAATTTAATGCAACACAGAAACAAAAAACAAAGCATAATTCATCTAATTTGAAACATAGTCTATAAACTTTGGATTTTATGAATTTGAATAAAAAATATCCCAATTATTAATAATCGACACTTCATGCATTGGCAGAGTTTATAATCGACACCCAATAATTTGATGGAAATTACAAC